GAGAAACGCAGGTCTGTTTAGTAGCAACGATATGCCATATTCAACTAACTGTAAAATTTGTACCCTCTCTAACATACTTTCAAGTATAGTGCTTTCAAGTATAGTGCAATAGGTCCATATTGGCCTCCGGTAGCTGAACATTTCTGCATCAGCTGAACTTAATTTGAGTCTGGATTGTTTGCGAGGATGATTTGTTGACTTGCAGGGACGACTGTGTTACACACTAGATGATAAGCCAGTGTTCGGCAAATTTATGGAGCTGGAAATGACAATGAGTGGAAAATTTGCAGGGAACATTTTTGCAAAAGAATTCCTGTCAATGGAGGTGAGTTTTTTTCTTTCTTTAAAAAAAAAAGCACTCACGATGAGGGCCAATGCTTAGACGGGTAACTTGGTACTATTTGTATGCATTTCTTCAAGCAACAAGACTTCTTCTTAAGGAGCGGTTGTGAGGGCTTCCTTCATTTTTCCAATGTGTTACCACTTCTGGCGTAGGAGAATGTGAAATTTGGTACACCTAACTTGCTGAAGGGCGCAAATTAGCAGTGGTCCGCAATGCTGTGGAAGTAAGCATGGTTTTCAAGCTGCAGCGCATCTCCAGAAAAGCCTTCCGATCTTTGCGAGGCCTGAGGAGCATTACTGAGGCAGTAAATGCCAGCAGAAGAAAGAGCTGGGCTGTTTCTACATTAAATATTTGAAAGGCCTTGACCTTTTAACAGTTCGTTAACAAGAAAATGTCCAGATGAAGAAACTCAGAAAACTGTCTTGAATTTGCAAGTGGGGAGCTGGATCGTGATGATAGAACAGCCCAATTTAGCGAATAACAGGTTACTATTAGAAGGAGGTTACGAAAAACAAAGCCATTAAGGCCTTCAAGCAGAAAGAACGATCTCTTTGAATGTCTAGACGAAATAACGTGGGCGCAGCATAATTAGAATCGAGGAATATGGGCGTCAGCTTATCTCAAGATGCGTCGGCTAAAATTTTTGAATTTGGTATGAAGTAAATTTTGCAATTTGCAGACCAAAGATTGTCGTGTTCTGGAAGGCGTCTATTCGGATCAGCTGAAGCTAATAATGGCCTCAGTGTTGGCTCGTGAGAAGCGTAAGAAGCCGGGCCGTACGCCGGATTATCTCTCTCTGCGTGAACGTTTGAGAAATCTTGTGCAACATTCCTGCTCCTCTGTTCGCCACTACCGGATGCCGTTCAGCAGTGCGCACATGCTTTCATCATCACACTGCTTGCCATCTCCAAGTAGGATATTGAATTGTTCCGGGATTGGGCCTCCGCTGCTTTGCTTTTCATCGAGTCAGTATGCAGTGTCTCTGGGCATCCCTGATATTGCTGGGACTCAGTCTCACTTTGTGCATGTCTGTTACAGTTAAGGTATTCTGGGTTATATCTCCTCAGTCACGTAAGAGGCGCTTCAGTTGTACACATAAAACTTAAAAGGCCAAAATATTTTGAAATATAAGTCGCGAAGGGGTGAAAGGAGGGGAGGGGGAAGGTGGGGGGGAGGGTGTTACTGCAGCTATTAACTCTAGAATCGCACAGAGCTGCTACCCTAACGCACAAGATAATTTAAAATGATGAAAGTAAGAGGAAGAACGATTCGTCATGCTCAGGAGGACTGATGAACAAATCGTAACGCAGCTTGTGTTTCATCTCTTAGCCAACAAAGTTATGAGGAACAGTAAATTGCGATCGTTTAGAAGATCGCACCATAATCTTAAAGCAAGTGGACGGTCCAAAGAAATATGGAGTGGCTGGAATCAGAAAGTTTAAACAAAAAGTTCCGCCAGACCCATCGAAAATACTAAGTGCTGTTCACATGCCTCACAAACACTGCTTTAGCATAGTCTGGTATCTTTGGGCTCTGGACACTTTCTTACTATTTTCGATACAAGCCCCCTCAGCTGCTGCAGTGCGTTGAATTGGTTTTCTGTGCAGATGTGCAAATATTTATATGTTTATAACAAAATGTTTGATCAGTCATTGCAGTGGTACCACACGGAATGTCTCTTGGTGGTATGCCTAGCTTCGGCGCATCTGCACCATCGCCATTTTCTGGGCCATCGTACGGCGGTGGTAATTCGATGATGAGCATGATGATGGGTGGTTGCTTGCCATCTTCGGTCGGTGCTGTGATGCCCGGATCTTCCCACTTGGCTATGGCCCATATGAACCAGCAAATGTCAATGGCACATCTCAGGCCAGCGGCAAGGTTTGTTTTCCAGAAATTTTTCTGCATTTCTAACTGCTTTCTCAAGATTTATCTCTTCAAACATAATATCATCCGCTGTGTTTTTTGAGTCAGGAACAGCTGTCCTAGAAATAGCTTTAATCTGTTTGGGAACAAATAGGATCGGTCATGACTTTTGACCTGACAGATAATTATTGTCCGTACCATGGGGGCTAGTTTCCTCTTGTCTGTTTTCTCTTTGTTTTTTCTTCCTG